TCAACTGATGACAGTGGAGCATTCGTCGGACCTGATGGTGTCGTTATTCCTACTGATGCCAGTGGACGTCCTTTAGGCGAAGATGGATCACCTTTACCCACTGACGCTTCTGGGCGTTTTGTCGCAGTTATGCCAACACTACCGTCTTTCTCAGTTGTTGGAACTGATGGAATCGTACTGCCTACTCTCGGTAATGGATCGTTCATCAGTATTGAAGGAGTTGTTGTTCCTACGAATAAAAAGGGTTTGCCTGTTGATAGTTCGAGTGGCAATGTTCTGCCGACTGATTCTACGCAGCGCTTTGTTTATCGTAGGCCTTCGCCATACTGTCGCGTATCGTCCAGTCTGGAACTGATTATTGTGCTAGACACTTCCAGTAGTGTGAAAGTATTGGACTACAGAATAATGAAAGAAATTGTGAAAAGTTTCCTGCTAGAACACTTCGATCTGAATGAAAACCGTGTACGAATAGGTTTGATCAAATATGGCGAAAGTGTTGAAGTTCCAATGTCACTGGGTGATTATGGATCTACTGAGCAGTTAGTCACCATTATAAGTGAAACAAGACGTATGAAAGGAAAGCCTCATTTGGGAGCTGCTTTACGAGAAGTTGCAAACGAATTTTCTATCTCTGGAAGTGAAGGAATGAACAAAGCAGTTTTGATAATGAAGAACGGAAAATCTTTGTAAGTTATATTGAAATTTTTTCAAGAAATGTTCAGAACACAAAACTGCTGTTACAGAGACGAAGTTACTGAACCAGCAGAAGTTTTGAAAGAGATGAATGTAGAAATATTCGTGGTGGACGGTGGAGACGATCAAAGTCGATCAGAAAATAATGGTATTACATCAAGTAGTAATATCATACAAATTGAAAAGTGGAGAGGAACTGATTCGGAGAGACTTGGACCGATTGCTGATATTCTTTGCCAGGTAAATTAATTTCTTTAATAAAAACTCAAATAAAAACTACTTTTTTAGAAATTCCCGAATACTTTGACTACTCAGATGACTTGGGCTCCAAAAAAAACAACACATTCAACTAATAGTCCCAGAGATTGTGCTAAGATCGACTATGAGGTCAGCATTTTGCAAAAAACAGAAGATGATATAATAAAAATGCTCATATTTTAGGCTGACGTCATTATCATGCTTGATTCATCTGAAAATTTCAAGACAGATGAGTTTGAGGCAATGAAAGAAAGTGTAGCAGCGCTTGTTGATGAGAGTTTCGATCTGGCTCCAGACGTCGTGAGAATCGGATTTGTTATATATAGGTTTCTAGTTCTGGTTCAGATAGTTTTCACATTTTTTTCTTTCAGTGATAAAGTTGCCGTTCCTGTAGCGTTAGGGCACTATGATGACAGAATTGAACTTATTGAAAAGATATCATCATCAGAGAAAATCAATGATGGAGTTGCCATAGCTCTGTACGGAATGAATGCAGCTAGACAACAGTTCCAGGTAATATTATTTCAAACAATATCATCTTATCGTATTCACTTATAGTTACATGGCAGAGAAAATGCTACCAGAATTGTAATTATGATCACAAATGGTAAAAACAGGTTGGTTTAACAACACTTTTCTAATAACATGCTAATGTTTATTTCAACTCATTTTCTTATCGAAAGTCGCCTTACTGAAATAATCTAATTGCAGGGGAAATGCTGCAGGTGCAGCTGGGGATCTTAGAGAACAGTTTGGAGTAGAATTATTTGTGTTGGCTATCGGTTCAGATGCTGATCAAATTAAAACTCTTCGTAGAATAGCAGGTATGTTCCAATAATAAGCTCAAAAAAAATTTTTTCTTTCAAGGTTCCGGCTTAGAAGAACGTGTGATTGAAGTAGAATCTGCAAGTGATATCGAAAACAAGGCTCAGTCTATAGGAAGACATTTGTGTGGATACACAACACCATCTTTCCTTAGTAGCACATATAGTAGAACCACTAAGAGAGATATTATTGATAAGTGAGTTTCAAGTAAGATATTCAAATTTACATGTATATTTGAAGATTGACAACGCCATCTCTTATTCGAACCACTAGAGCATTACGCTCTCAAGCGTTGTGCAAGGACGGGGTTCGACATCCATTCCAGTTTAACTTTATCATCGATGTAACATCACGTTCCGAGAATCAGGTAATAACAATCAAGATTCGTTCACTTGTTAACACATTATGATATTTAGAACTTCCGACTTGTATTGGATCAAATTGTTCAATTCTTCTATTCAAGATTTGAAATTAATGATGAATTCGTAAGCATCAACTTGCTCACTGTTAACAGTGAGAAGGTTGGTGAAGTTTTCCATGGAGTTCGCATTTCTGAACTCGAAAACATTCTCAAAGATATAAATCAAGAAAGGTTTGTCATCTGTTTATAAAATGCACAACAATTAATGATTTTCTAGCGAAGACATGATTTCACCGAAAATAGGAAAAGCAATTGACACAATGGTTGAGGTTTCGAATGGAAATCACATTCCTGGTAGTGTTCGTATTCTTCTTCTTGTTAGTTCAGATGGCACGAGCAGGTACCTTTCTGTTTCATTATTTTATTTTTATTTTTTATTTTTTTTCAGCGATTTAGCAGCACCAGCTGCCGAAATAGCTGCTTCGGAATATCTGATGAACACTATCAGTGTGTCTATTCGTAAGCCCAGTTCAGAACTTCTGTCTAAGTTGAGCGGGGGTGTTGCTACCAGGTAATTTACAGAAATTTCACTCAGATCTACCATAATGTATTTGTTATAGAGTTATCCATCTGGATGACTGGTCGGCAATAGATCTTTTCCCTAATTGGCTTTCCTATGTTATCTGTGATTACACGTCTTCCACTCGAACTCCTAAACTTCGGACAACAAAAACAACAACCAAGCGCCCTACAACAACAAGTAAAGCAAATAAGCTGTTTCTAAATAATATGATATTTCTTTTAGCTAAATCACCAACATCTTTCGAGCCATCCAATGTTGAAGCCACTGGATTAGGCCCATCAAAACTTAGCGTTTCATGGACTTGTTGTACCAATAACAAAGCAGTAAGGATATTGATGAAAGAATTAACTTCTACATTGGATATTTTTCAGAATTATACTATTCTCTACACTCATGATAAGAGCATTCCTCGTAGAAACTGGAAGAGATTACAAGCTACATGCCGCGACAGTTTTGGAACAACAATCGATGTGAGTGTTCCTTATATCTTTCTGTTAATCATTCGTCTGGAGATATTCTTTGACATCCTTTCTTAGTAATAATACAACCACTATGATAATGTGTTTCAGAACTTACCTTCTGATCATCAGTACACTGTGTGTGTTATGACAACAACTCGTGCACTGAATGATTCTGCCATCTTGGAAGAAGAAAACTGTGATGCTATCACTATTAATAAAGGTTAGATAGACAATAATATGATTTAAATAATCCATCATTACAGATACAACACCTCCACCAGACTTTGAGGCTCCAACCATTGCTCCTTGCAATTGTCAATGTAATGGCGGTGATGCAGTTCTGAGACCTGCCTGCGATTTACTAACTGACCCATTCCGTCCCATCAGTACTTTGCCTCCTGCAACTACTGAGGAATGTCCTTGCAAGGTAAACCATTTATTGTCTCTAAAGCGTACTTTCCAAGTTCGAATCAATGAAATTGAACACTCTTTCTCTTAAAAAGCATTTCGAGCATCTGAAGACACAACTTATTGAAACTATTCTAGGTTCAACCACACAGTGGTCGTTGCCCACTCGGTTATCAGTTTAAGAATCGTCAATGCTATGGTGAGTAACGATTAACAAAATATTATTAAACCTATTGTTTTGAAGATATCGATGAATGCCAATCAAACAACGGTGGATGCACTCATGGTTGCGTCAATACTCCAGGATCCTACTATTGTGCTTGTCCATATGGAATGGCACGCGATCCTCTCAATCCAACAGCGTGTATTGATCCAACCCACTCGTAAGATCATATAGTTGAAAAATTATTGTTATCATCATATACTTCCAGATTCGATCGTATTGCCCAATTATTAGGTCAATATATGGCTAACGCCAAGCTGAAGCTTCGCGATTTCGGAGGAGCTGCACAGCTAACAGGCGAAGCTAACTAATATCTACCGGTTTTTTCGTCTTGTAAACAACAAGAAAAATTCAAAAAAAAGTATTTCAAAATGATGTTAAGATATCTTTGAAATTATGTGATTATATAAGATATATGTTTTATTTTTTTTATTGTTCATGCTAATATGCCTTAACTGGGGGTATACAAGCAGTTTTACCGGTTTACTCCCAAAATTCATAACTATATGATGTACACAATGTATTCTCATAATATTACCAGAAGTGCTATTATTGTTTTCAAGTCTATAGTTTTTCTAATAAATATATTATAAATTAATATTATGACTTGAGATTATCATCAAAGAATTGCCTACGTTTACATACTCAATAGTTAACCTTGAGAACAGAATGTATACCGACATGAAGGTAAGCAAAAGCACGACTGCTAATTGCAGTCATGAAGTGATAAATGGTTTGAAGAAGTACGCGTGAACAACGACCGCTCCCTCAATGCAGCAGTGTAGAATGAATTGAGACCGCTTAACAACCGCTCAATGCTCACTTTTATAACGAAAATGATAGTCAAGCATGGCAGTCGAGCAGTCAGCGCTCAAATGAGAGGAAGCAAAATGATTTTCTACGACACGCCAAAAAAAATATTGGCCAAGCACAACGGAAGTGATAAAGGAAATGATTTCGTAAGCCACAAAATGAAGATACCTGTTCATTTAGCTGCACACAAATGATTTTTAATCTTTATCAAAAGTTTGAACTCTTTACAACTTAACTAAGACACACTTTGAGACAAAATGATGATAAAACCTCGCATAGTATCAACAACCACTGACGCGTAAACTTGAACAAAGTCAATAGAATGCAGAAAAGTGAGTAAACCTTCATCATTCGTTAACGCTTATGCGACGTTGCCATAACCTATTTCTCCATTAGCATTCTTGAAATATTGTGAAACAACTTACTAATCATGTTTGATAGAAAATACTTACGTAAGAGTGTTTTTCCATTTCAACATTGAAATGTTTATAATCGTTAGAAGATAGAAGATAAAAGAGAAAATGTTCTTTGTCCTTCTCACTCTCTAGAATTCTTCAGAACGTTTTTTTATCTTTATTCATGACGAACTACATGCTAGTTTTTACAAACTACACTTTATTTCACAATATAAGGCATGCTATCATTCAATATCTTCATTCGATGTTTGTCCTCGGCACTATGAATTGTCATCATTTAATGAAAGTTGCATTTGATCGTCCTAGCATATTTCATAATGTTCTATCTGATTATGAGTCTTATATAAACGATGATATGAACATTGAGACTATCATTTGCAGTTCCTTAACTAAACTCTTGTCTGTTATGTTTATCAAGTGTCTTTGTCTTTTATCATTCGCTGCCAACAAACATCGTTCTTCATCAATGACACTTTCCTAATTCATTATTGAAGAGTATGTCGTGCTGTTGTTGTCCGGTAACTCTCATTGTTGCCGCTGGAATTGCCTTCTTCTTATATAAGAAGTTTACCAAAAAACCAGCACAAGTGAGTTTGTACGATATTTTCTTCTCAAGATGTGTCGTCGTTTAAAGCTTCGTGAGACCAATTGGAAGAAAGATGTTGTCTATCTCTACCAGTTCCCTCAAGTCAAAACTGCCCGTAATCTCTCTCCTTTCTGTTTGAAAATTGAAACATTCCTCAGAATAAACAAAATCAGTTATGAGGTATACTTGAAAATTCTCGAAATTGAAAAGTTATTTTCCATTGTTCAGCTCAGGGACACAGTTCTTGCTCGTTCAGAACATGGCCTTCTTCCATTCATCGAATTAAACGGAGAACATATTGCTGATTCCAAGATTATCGAACAGCGTTTAATTGCTCATTTCGACGTCAAGGTAATTCCTCCTATCTTTGTTTTATTGAAATTGTGTTTTACAGCCTGTTGGAACTGAACAAGATGAAGCTGTTGGACATCTCATTTCTAGAGCTTTCGACCTTCACACTTTCTTGTACTATTTCTTTTTTTGGCCATTAGAAAGTTTTACTTTTTAGCCTTTTCATCCATTTCAAGATTGCTGAACCCGAGAAGATGATCGCTCTCCTCAGCGGTTTCGGTCTTCCAAAGATCTTGCTTCCAGTTCTAGTTCCAATTGCTGCTTGTCTCTTTAAGCGCAAAGTATATTGATACACAAAAACAAAAGACAACATAACTCTTTCTTAGGCTAACAAGAAAGTCAGTGGAGCTCTAGGTGGTCTGTACTCCGAAAGCGACTTCAAATCTCAGTTGAAGTTGGACTTACAAGCTTTGGATACGGTTTTGAGTGATAAGAAATATCTCGGAGGCGACAAGATCAGCACTGTAAACATCGCATAAGCTTAATCATAACGAATATTTGAATTTTCAGCACGATTGTGGTGTCTTCGGTCAATTGACAACAGTATATTATCCATTCGATAACTATTGCAAAGATGCCATTGATGAATTCCCAAGATTGGTTAAGTACATGGAAAATATTCGTGAGGAAGTCTTCCCTCGTGATTTCACTTTGTAAATTCTGTAAATTATATTCAAAAACTGTTCAATGAGACGCTTAATGTCTCTTCCTAAATAAAATTTAACGAAGTTTATTCAAAAATAAGAAATTAAATTTGTTTGTTACAAAAAAAAAAGAAAAAAGATCGCTCACACCATATACAAAATAATATATATTACTATCGTGAAACGATTGTTATTAGAATTTACAAAAAAGAGAAGAGAAAAGAGAGAGAGGAGAGGAGAGAGAGAGGGAGAAAGAGAGACAAGCAGACAGACAAAGAGAGAGAGAGAGAGAGAAACAAGGATGATTTCACGCAGTTTGCATGAAATCTTCACGTAAGCTACATTAAAACGATTTTTTTGGAGATAAGAATATTAGGGTTTACAGTGGAAGCGAAATATTACTGAAAATCAGAACTTACTGCTCATTACGGCAGCTTTTTACAAACCAATGGAATAAAAAAGGATAAAACTCAAAAATCCTTTGTACAGCACATACGAAATTACAAGACTCAGGTAGATGGAGGAGAAAAAATCATGAATTAGCTCAATGCTCATTCAGATTCTTCTATCTTTGGCAATGTAACATCAGCCGTAGCTGAAGAAACTGAGGGCACCATAGCAGATCTCAGTCTTTCCAGGAACTCAGCAGTGTCATTGAGAAAGCGCAATGGATATGGGTATCCTGGAGTTGTATCTTCACACATGTAAGAGATAGCAAAAGAGAAATCTCGCTGAAATGATCAAATCAGAACTGTATCAGAAGCAATAGCAAACCTTCATTTTGTGATAAAGCTTATATAGTCTATCATATTGCTTATAAAATTTGGCACCTGCTTGGAAGATATTCTCGTGTGCGTTTGGAGAATTTCGAGATTCTCGTTCGCAACGACGAGCCAATTCACAGAAAGATCTTATAAGAGATGCGATTTGATTAAAATTCGCTGAAAAATATAAAATGCTATAATTTTGTGAGCAAACTACTTACTCAAACTGGCAGCTTTCAGAGGTTCCACCAGTTCAAACAGCTCTGTACAGTTACCATTGTTATGCAAGAACTCGACGACTTTATCGAAAACTTTAGACCCATCCTTGCCATCGGGTGTTGCGCACAACTTAAACGAGAAGGAAGGATCATAACCTGCATAACTTGCTACTCACCTCCCCTAATTTAGACAGAGGGAATGGCTTCATTTTACTTGAAGCTTGTGATATAACATTCAAACGTTGTTTCACAAACTTTCCAATCTCCATGAAGTTTTGATTTTGATATGCTTTCCTGGCGATTAGGAGGCACTCCAGGAGTCTTTTGAAAGACTGAACAAAGAATCATGAAGAGTTTCAAATATGCTTCTATTAACCTTCTCTGCAGCAGCAACTCGTTCATCGAATTTTCCGACTCCAATCATTATAGCCAGTTTGTCCTCTAGGCGTTCAATCTGAGCTAACTATAACAAAATTTTGGAATTTTTGAAAATGAGCTACAAGATCGCCCACCTCAACAATGAATCTCTCTTCGTCAGTTGTTAAAGTCTGTGGATACTCTTGAACAAAGAGCTTGATCACTCGAGAATCAAACTCGTTGGGAGCTATCGTTCGTACTTTCTTGACCAACCCCACTGGTAATATACTGATATCCATCCTTAAATCACAAGAAGTTACTTATTATGTTCATTTAGACAAACTTGTTCAGAGCGTAGAGAACTTCGAAAGATGGTATCTGATAACAACTACTGGATGATAACTCGTTCCGAACTTTTGATACTTCTGAGATCTGAGCTGCATTCAAAAGACTGGTAGGTGCTTGAGAGTTATTCTGGAACAATTGAAACTTTATATGTGCAACAAATTGAATATAGTTACTTCAGGCAATGTTTGGAACCACCAATTCTGTTCGGCGAGAAACTCCGCTTTAAGATTACAGCTTTTAAGAAGCTCTTCAGCATATCTTGAAAGACTCAATTCATTGCGTTATAATCAGAATGTAGTTACCTGCTTTTCAGCTTATCGAAAAAAATTTCGTGATGATTTGATGAGGAAGGCCCGATCTCAACTGAAATCATGACTATACTATGCAAGCTGATGCGGGGGAAATCACTCACGTTCATAAACTAAACTCATAAGATGATCTGGAAAGTCTGATGATGAAGCTGATCGGCTTTCGTCCTCTTGTCCATCAGAATAGTAGCTCAATGTTGTTGGACAATCGAGTGGAACTTGATCCATATTGATGCATTGGGCCTCGAAAATCTCATCATCCGAAGAAGCCTGGAAAGAACACATCTTTACAAGTTAAAAAGGTTGAAGCATACCTCAAGCATTGATTCTTTTAAGATTTCATTGATTGTAATTTTGTTGTTATTAATATTAGTTAAGGTGCCACTTATAAGGGCCGGAGTTAAGTAAGAAAATCTGAAAATCCAGCTTTGAATTGATTTGCAAATCTCACGTGACACTCAGGTCTGTTAATGATTCGTTGCTACTAGTCATATTTCCGAATTACGAAATAATAAATACTTACGATGGATTTCCAGTTAATAGAGAATGAGATGATGGCTGAGCCATCAAAAGAAAATCGTCGTGACTCCTTGTCACATTGGGCTATAAGAGCTAATTTAAATTATTTCACTTTTACAAGTTCAAACCTTATCAGTCCCTGACTCACGGCCATCCAATGAGGAATGAGCGTTTGCAGATTTCATCGGGACTACAGGAAAATTGACTAAAGACGGTATTGTCTTACACTGAACAACATTATATTTATATTGCTTTCTATTGAACCAGTTGTTTACCATTTTTGGCTGAGGGCTTCCTCCACGAGGAGACAAACGGTTTTGCACATGACGACCTCGTCCACGTACTAAAAAGATTTCCTTTTAAAGAAGCTTTGCTTTGTGTATACATACCTGACATGCCTCTTCCTCTTACTGAAACAGTACCATGAAATGGTTTGTGATTAATAAGTATTTCATTAAGATGACTTACCGTGTGGAAAGCAAATTTTCATGAATCGCTCAACCTGTGGAGCATACTTTTCCATGTACGAAACAGGATCTCCCTAAATGATATGATGATTCTCCCAAAATTCAGATGAGCTCTTACCGCCAGTCCATGAAGAGAAACCATATGACTTTTAACATTATTTTTGGAGTACGTTGAAGCAAAATCACAAGCTGGACATTGAAACATTGGCTGACCAACATGGTATTGGCGAATATGGCAAGGAAGTTTTGACGAATGGACGTCTTTCTGACAAAGTTCACAGAATTGGAACGTACTTGGAGTGCTCTAAAGAAAGATGCTTGTTTGAATGTAATATGAAGATCACTAACTCTTTTACGATCGTGAGATGTTTGTTGTAACTTTTGGAGCTGAACTTGCTGATGCTGTTGTGCTCTTTGTACCAGTTGTAGCTGAAAAAACAAAAAACGAAATTATTATTTTTTAAAACCATTTCTCTTAAAATTTACATTTAGAAAATCATTATGTTGTTGTAAGAGTTGCCAGAAGCTAGAAGGATCCAAGGCTGCTGATGCTATTAAGGAGTCCATCGGACTGTTTTCCTGGAAACAGACAATATTTTTTTTATCAAAAGAATAAAATTACTCCATCTTTTTCTTTCGTTCGAATGAAATGATCAAAAGAAATTATGGTTTATGCTTTAAGCTCAAGCTTATTCTTTTCATTCCGAAATGCGCTCAAGTTGCAGCTTGGAATTACTAATCTCTCGATCTCACTTTCATGTTCAACAAATCTTATCTACGAAAGCTATGAAGTGAAACACAAAGCAATACAAAAAAAAGAGAAAAAACTGATATTAAAGGAAAAAACAGACTGACAGACAAAGAGATATATGAGGTTAAAGAGTGAGCCTATTTGGAATATAAACAAACATTTTTGTATTTTGATTGATTTCAGATCAATTCTTTATCACTTCCGGTCTTAATCAAAAACAAGTTCTAGGTTCTAGGTTCTAGGTAGTACATATCCCCTTTACTGAATGTCTTTTCTCCACAAGCCTTGACCAGCTGAAGAAACATTCAGAGAATACTCGTGGATTCATCTTCTTGAACTGTCTCTTTCTATGTCTACTTTACTGACTCTCAGTTAATTCTATATTCATCGCACTATGTAGTCATTAATAAAACCACAGTAACCATTGCACACTTCTATATTCTGGCTCCTCCTATCGCTCATACACACCAATGGTTAAACAAGTTTTCAAATAGTTAACAACCTACTTGCTTAACAATTGGAAACTCTGCTTTGACCCCGAAAAAATCGGGACGGTTTGAAAAATCTTGAGCATTTGCCTGTCCTCCATCGCTCCCAGCTGAGGATGGTGCGGGTTGGGGAGAAGAGACATCCATTTGATCAGAGACTACCGGACTTTTCGAGCTTTGTTGAACTGCGGCAAATAAGTTGGCAAAATCCGAAGCGACTGAAGATGAGTCTGAGGTGTTCGTCGGTGAAGTCGAGCTGAAATGTTCCAAAATCAGAAAAATCAATTGATTTTGGACACAGGTGAGAAAGTTGCAACATAATCTTTCAATCAGAAAAAAGATATCAGGGGAGAGTAAAAAAGACGTCTGTCGACGAAAAGAATATGCTTTGAATGGCTGTCTGGTACGCTTGATGAAGCAAGGGAGGAGCTAGGAAGAGGCGGAGTCAAGTTCAACTATTGGATGATGCTGAGCTTGAAATAACGAATAAGTTCTCAGCCTACCCAAATTAACAGCACAAAGGCTAAACTACAAACAACAGAAGAAGCGTCAGGATGAATGAAGCTTAATTTCATGGAAAAAACCTAATGCTTGCCCGAATGATAACACTCGCGGATATGAGACAGAAAATTGTGAAATTATTTCCTTAGTAGGAAGGGGTAGTGATGAATTTAATTGAAATACCTGGAAGATACAGCTTCGATTAAAGTTGATAAAGCATCTTGACAACTTTGAGATGGAACATGCACATCTTCTGCTGTTGAAGTAGCAGTTTCGGAAGAGGAGCCAGCGGCCATTTGAGAAGGTGATGGTGAAACACGGCTACTGGCTACCATCATCCTGCAACAAGAGAACCTTTCAGAAAAGAATGATAGAAAACAATAGCGGACAGCTAGAAGCAGAGATAGAGCGTACAAGAAATACAGTAATTAAACACAGGACAACCACATAACATTCGTTTAGTTTGTGATTAGCAATCTAAACTTAGCGACGAGAAGTAACTGTTTAAGACAGAGAGGAGAAAGAAGATAGAGCACGAGAATCAGAGGTGGAGAGAGAGAGAGAAAACGTGGCGTGATAAAAAGCTATCTTAGATTTTTTATACAAAAATGCCTATCAACCCAAAACTTATGAACAACATTTTCTGGAAGGAAAATAATCATCTTTAAGAATCTTCAAAAAGCCATCTGTCCAGCTAGAGCGAAAAAGCCGTCACAGGTCAAAAGCTTGAGACGATTGCTGTCATTCGTCTGGCAAAGCTCCTTCTACGGGCTTTAAAGCCTACAACGATGAAGATGTGAGTCAGATAAGACGGAAAAGCTTAAAGCATGAGAAGAAAAGAAGAGGGAATGTCAAGTTAAATGACAGTAAGCCTATTCTTAATAGAAACTTGAGAAAAGTTGTAAAAAATTCAGAAATGAGAACAAATGAATGGCAGGAACAAAGCTTGTAGGGGTTTGCAGCGGAGAAATTGCTTCAAACTTCTGAATGTTCAAATTCAAAGGCTGATAAGAGTTTCATCTTCATCACTAAAAAAAGTGGAGCTCTGATGAAGCAACTTGGTTGATAAGCAGGAATATTCAAAAGAAAAAAAAAGAAAAAAAAAAGCGTGTTAATGACAACCTGATCAAATCAATCGATAAGCATCATTACATATTGCCTATGTACATTTAAGGACATACCTCTAAGTATAGCAAGCTGGCAACGCATATGTACGTGACGATTAAGCAATGAGTAAGCTTTAATAAGAAAATTTTCGAAAATTATAAATAACCGCCCAAATGCAAGAATATTCTCCCGTTTATGTTAAATTAAGTTTATGTTAATTAGATGTCATGTGAAACCTGACGAGATTGGGAAACTCCATTGAATTCACATATAAATAAGCTTGACAAACAAATCAGCAAAATAAATTAATAATTAAATAATAAACTCATTAACTTAAATATTAAACAAAAGGTTTGGGTAGGACAAACCATTTTAGGCCATGCCAAGATTTGCCTCACCACTTATTTTTTTCAAATTTCAGCAAATGGTAATTGACGGACCACACAGGGTGAAACAACATGAGTGGGCGGAGCCTAAAGGTCAACTTTCAGCCAATCGCGTCTCGTCCAGATATCTTAACCTTATTAGGCTCAAAATACAACTAAGACATGAGCAAGGTTGCTTGTTTTTAAAAACTTGACGCATCTTATGATTATCAGATATATATGGCGTGATACCATATAAAAAGCATTATTGATTGATTTTTTTGATCTGCTCTCCATATTAAGAATATGTTTTTACTCACAGTATGTTGTAAACAAGACAAGTTGTTATTTTAATCCAAATCAACAAGAGCAGAAATGAAAAATCAATAATAATGGCTGAAACATGATTTGAAATAGTTGGTTTATTGCTTTCACAAAAGATTATGATGGATTTGATGATGATTAAGCTTAGAAATCATTGAACTCTTATATTGAGCTATTCATATCAAGCTTTATCATATGTGCGGAAGACTATATTGGATTCAAGCTTCTAAGCAAAGTGACTATCTCTTAGCTGATTCTCATGGTTTCATTACCGTAACCGAAGCTTTTATTTTCGTTTACAACGTCATTTATTCATTCTAATCAAGCTTGAGTTCCGTTAAGACCGAAAACATATTTTGCAGCTTAAACCTAATGATTTGAGCATTTTCAACTTCCTTGATTAAAGTTTTGCTGATCATATCCCTTCAGTCGTTCAGCAGTCGTCGACTATGGGTTCCCTTCTTTTTCCCTTTCGTTTGCCATTTTTTTTCATATTTCACATAAACGACACACAATAAGTTCATCGAAGAAGAAATAAGTAAGCATGAGCATTACCCATGGGCTCAGGAGATGAAGCCTAGGCCTCAGACACACTGGGCATAAGCCCAGACTTGACTGAGGCTTACATGGATTAAGCAAAATGAAGCCGACACACTACATTCTGTGCTTCATCATCATGCTGTTATGTTAGCTGCTCAAGATGCGACTGATGGCTTTAAGAAAGAAAGTATCAACCACAAAGTTTGATAGGGAGACACAGGGAGAGAGAGAGAAGACATACAAAGAAGAGGACAAAAGATTGGCTAGTGAAGAGGTTAAGCGATAGTTATAATAAGCTTTTGTAGTCCGTTTGCAGGTAAAGGTAATGTCCAAAATACTGATCACATTCCCTTTTCCGACAATAAAAATAGGAAAAGGAAAAAAAATTTTAATCAGTATTGAAATGAAGAAAAAAAAAACTAAAGATTAATTGAAAAGCTGTAAGTTCCGAATAAGGTAGTGCCAGGCTGAGCTTATCAAGCTTGGTCGTCATAGAAACAACCTTTTATCTATCATCTTTTTTCGTGTGATTAATATAAATGTAAAACTAACTAGTATATCGGCCAAAGTATTCCAAATGTCCACCTTTGGATGGTAGATAGTATGGAGAGAGAGAGAAAGAGACAATGAATAGAACTGATAGATACAGAGAGAAGAAGAGAGCCAATGAGCCTAGATGAATCGTCTGCAAAAGAAGGTTATGCTTATTAATCACAATGTATTTCTGGAAAATTAAAGTCATTGATCAATAACCAGAGAAGATTGAACATTGAAAGCTTTTTTTAAAGCTTAATCTTCTATCCTTTTTCTCTGTTCTCTTGTAAATTTGATCGGAAAAAGGAAATGCGCAGCACACATATCTAACTTTCCTTTTTGTTTTATTCGACTATCATAGACAGCCATAGATGGATTCTCTAGGTCTGCACAGTATGAGCTTAAGCTTCGAGTTGAAGCTTTATAAGCTTATATAAATAAATATTTTCTCAAATGACCAATTATAATGATACTTGTTTTTTCATTAAAATCGTCATTATAATGATTCTATTCAAAGATATGCAGACAGCTAGGATGCTATGTATGACGAAGAAAGGAAAAGCATAAGGAAATGATTGCCCTGCAGGTATTGTGTTTAGCTTCTTTCAAAAATAATTATGTCTGATAAACAGCACAAAAAGAGAAAGAGAAAGGGACAATGCGGGTAGAAGGGAGTAAGCTATAGAGAGAAGAGGGATAAGCTGATGAGGATAGTGAAATGAGCGCTGATGATGATACACGTTCACATAAAGTGTTCGTTAGAATTAAAAGTAAAAATAATTGTCAAATAAAATCTTTGTTGTCTTATCAAATGCTTCAATTGGCCTATAGGCCCTTGTGAAATGCCAAATAACCTGCTCGATTCTGCTTTATCAACTTAAACTTTTATGTTCGAAAATGGAACACAATTGTTTCATTCGAGGGTAAAAATAATCAACGAAAAGGTGAATCAAGCAGTGCACCAGTGTATAAGTGCTTAACTATGAATAACTACCAAATATAGGCATAACATAAGAGAAGATTACAAGATGCTAAATTGCTATGTGACGATGTGATCTCTATGCTCAGAAGAGATTTAAGGAAAGATATAATAGAATGAAAATTATAAAAATAGAACTGACCTGTATGTGTTATGATCACAGCGAAGATACAACCGACTCAACCGCTTACTTTCTTTTTGTAAATGAAGAATGAGATGATAGAACTGTCACGTATTCTACGTGAAACGTGGCAAAAACGTGAAAAGCTTCTGGAAAAAATTGGTAAATGAATGAAAACTAACAACGAATGGAAACAAACAAAAACCCGGAATTTTAAAAAGTTGGTTAAAAACACTGCTAATCAAATAAAAAAAATGACAAAAAGTAACTGTATGAAGATTGTCAATAGGAGAGATGGAGAGAGGGAGTAAAGGATATGAAGGGAGATTCTCAAAAAATATCTTAATTAAAGAGGAAACAGGCGTTAAGGTTTGGAAATGTTATCAGGTATTCAACTGTTCACTATCATTCCAGCTTTAAACTTAGCCATAAGCTGAACAAAGTGCAAATGAAAGAAAGTGAAATTGTGGTAAATAGAAGAAATGAGACCACAAGAGGAGGAACACAGAGGGACAATGAAAGAGAGAGGGAGGAGGAATGTCAAAAAAAGAAGAAGAGGAAGGAGGGAGTGATGAGTTAAGAAGAATGGTAAGAAATGGCTTATAGGGGCTGGGAAAGAGCAGCGAAAGCCTAGTGAGGATAAGTGACAAGCTAGTAGCTTGGGTGAGAATAACAAAAAGACAAAAACACTTTTGTATAAGTTGAGAAAAGGAGAGAGATTGAGATAGTGAGAGATGTGAAAAGAGTTGGATAGGGATAGGGAGGGAGAGACAGATACAGAGAGAGCATGAGGTGAATGATAGAGATATACAGTTTTCTCTTCCATGTTTCCAGATGTCTTTGAACTTTTCATTCAACTAGAAATGAGAACTAAAATAAACAAAAATATTTGTGTAAGTTGATGATCACAGGAGGTGCGCGTAAAGAGAGAAACAACACAGCTGGAGGTTAAATAATTGCAAAATAATAGAAGAAAATAAAAGATACAAACAAATGTTATTTTTTTTTATATTTCAAAGGAAAATAAGCTTCGAAAGACTATGATGATAAGTTCGATGAGCTTCTCCCTCGAAGCTTTCTGGTGAATTGAATGATGAAATGAGCCAGAAGAAGTTAAAGTACACATAAAGGTACGACAGGATTTGTGCCGATGCTTCAATCAAGTTCAAAGTACTCTGGTACTATGGCATTGTCTATTCTACAGTCATACGTTAAGCTAACTTTCTATCATTATAAAAATAAAGAGAGAGAGAGAGATTGAGAGTTATGATAGAAGGTAGGATGTGTGAGAGAGAGAGAGACACCAATGCGCAATCGAACACTTCCCGGTCAGTCTCGGAACATCAGAATAACGAACTCTATCTGCCTTCCAAATATTTGACAGCTTAGAAGAGAAAGCGAAAGCTTCAATACCATAGCCTTCATTTATGAAATGCTTTTGGCTCACAAATCAGACGATAAGAATGTTAGTTGGTTTACTAGGATAAAGAATAAAAGGACTGAACAACCGTCTAGCAAAAAAATAGGAAGAGGAGGAGGAAGTGGGGGAGGAGGGGCATAAGGAGGTAGAAGCTGTAGAACGGCGAAAGCAAAACATGCTTCTGACTTGTTTATGATCCTAAATATGAGGATACAATAGGCTAAAAGAAGATACAGAGATTGAGAGAAATAGTGAATGGGAGAACAAAAAATGATTGAAAGAATACATGAAAAAAGCAATCTCAACTTTAAGAAAGGCATGTTAGAACAATCCAGATGTTACATCTTCAGTCATAATGCTATTGATGACAAACGAAGATTCAGGATTACTTCAATAACATTTAAGCTTTCGGAAAAAATATAGTCCAAAATTCTTTTTTTTTTCTTTTTTTTGTCTCTTCATTCCGCACATCAATCACCTCCACAGAATGACGACAAGATCATTCTGATGAGGTCGGGGCTTTCTGGAAATGCGCCAACATTTTGTTGTTTGTTGACTCAGATCGTGTGCCTATCGGCTGCTCCTACTGTTGCTGGATTTGTTTGATCATCTTCTACCATCCTTCGCGTTTTTTTTTCTCTTTTCCCTCCTCATCATTAGCAGGTAGAAGATAATATGGAATAATAAGAGGAGATGACAGAAAATAAGCGAAGAGATGGAACGGTAGCCGGAAAGAGACAGAGAGTCAGTGTGGAAAGAGGATGAAAAGTGTGCTTGGGGTTACCCAGCCTACTAACTTAAATACTGTTACAATAACAATCAACGAAAAAGAATAAAGAAAATTCTTGTGTACAATGCAATCTCAATGAGAGGGAGATAGAGAAAGAGAGAAAAAATAGTCTGATTCTCTCTCATATCTCTTGTTTTCTTTATTTCTTTCAACCTATTTTTTGTCATTCTAACGCATACTGTCCCTTCTGTGTTTCTTGTCAATAAGAAAAATTGCAAAATATTTGCGACTTTTCCTGAAACTATGAGAAAACAGTAAAGAGAGAGTAAGAGAGTTAGAGTGATAGTAAGAGAGAAAGAGAGAGAGAGAGAGAGATGCAAAGAGAGTAGGCGAATAAGAAAGATAAAGAACGAGGTGTAGATAGATGTGGTGGGGGATGCTAGAGATTGGTAATTGAGCAGGGTAACTTCCTCTCTCATAAAAATCGCTTAATCGAATGCTAGCCCATTTATACAATCATCTTTGTTTAGTAGCTTATAACTAAAAAAAGTAAATTTAAGAAACAGTCTCTTTTCAATATTAAAGATAAGGTTGAAAGCGGTTGATTGGCAGCGAGACACAAGCCTATTTGACAGGACAAGATTGAGCTCTAACCCGTGTCCTTCAATGATAAGAATATAAAATTCTTTCAAATTAGAAAAAAAAAATCATGAACAACCGTATCATTCAGGATCGTTATGCGAAATGACATAGGCAGTTATGTCAATGGACGCCATGCGATTTGAAGGTATCAAGCTCGAACATGCTAATTACCTGATGAGTTGATTACATCAATTGACTTTCCGTTTTGATCTGTTGAAGTGATTTGATAAACGTGCTGCTGAAATGCAAAAATATTTTAAAAATGCATTTATTTTTGAAGAAGAAAAGCGAAATGTCAAAACGAGAAGCTTGAAAGCTGAGGCAGAAAAGGCTACAAAGAAGTTTCAAATGAAATTTCATTCAGGAAGTGTCAATAGATTGACTGTTTCCTTTTAAATATGGTTTACAAAAAAAATGAAGCAGGCAGAAAGGTGAGAAGGAGAGGTAGTAAGAGATGAAGAGAGTGTGCGTGTGTGGATTCGAATTCCAAAATAGTTGAAAAGCTTCATTCATCCGCCAGCTACAGTAACTTTCTTTGTGAAGAAATGAAAAAAAATCCGAAAAAAAAAACAAAAAGCTTCTCAGCATTGTCCAAAAATGGAAGAAATGCTCGTAATAAGATGATGTTCATCCTAATTCTTCAAAGGACTTAGTCAAAAGCAATATGAATAGTAGATAGGAAAGTGAGGATATTCAAGAAAATTTTAAGTATTTGCTGCATCCTTCCTTTTTGGCTTCAAATGGTTACAAAACTCAAATAAAGAAGTATGGAGAGTGGAAAAAAAGAGTGAACGAATAGAGAAACAAGGAAAGATGAAGAGAATGAGGGTGAGAGGAGGTAAAGACTTAGGCTGATCGTTAATTCATTCTTCTTTTGGCTTCTTTAAAAGGCCACAAGCCGTTCAAGACAAAATCACTTTCAAAACGTAAATACTAAGAAATGCTGAGATGAAAATTGTGCTTGAAGCTAATGTGCTTATGTCCATACAGATGTAACCATCATCTTTTGTTTTTTTTTCCTTTTCCAAATGTATTGCAACTCAGGCACGATGCTCACTTACCACCAGCAAAGAGGAGGCTATTGCAAGGGTTCGGAGAGATGGTAAAAGAAGCTCTTTAAAGGAGCTCATTCTGTATTGAAAGAAAGCTTTTATACCGAAAAGTCTTTTTCTATTCTGTTGCTTTTTTGCGGTTCAGCAGCAAAAAAAGGAAAGAAAAATTAAATATCCTTATTAGTTAGTTTAAAGAGCTGAAAAATAAAGAGGGAGAGGAATAGAGAGAGAAGGAGAGAGTGAGAGAGAGAGAGAATGATATGAATCGGCGTAGAAAATGAGAGAAAAAAAAGAGTGAGAAAGAAGAGAGAGAAGTAAGACAAAACTATTTTGCAATTGCTTCATAGATAGCTGCGACTGTGAAAAACTTAGCCAATCAGCACATTGGATTGACAGCCAACCAGATGATATACTGTAAGATTTTCACATCCTCTTCAACATGAACGACTAGCCGTCTATAAGGCTTTTAAACCAAGAAAAGAAAACTTCTTGGAAAAAATGAAGGGAGGAAGAGACGAACAATAATAGTTTGTGTTGACTGTTTTCCATATAAGGAGCAAGATTGGTGTCGTCATGATGTTGCATAACTTCATCTGAGAACATCAGGTTGCAATCCAGTTTGATCTTCTTTGATCCTATTTTGATTCTGATTCCCTCTCACTCTGACTGTCTCTCTCTTTCTTTGCTTCTCATTGTTAATATCTCCATACCCTCTCATTCTCTCCTTCCTCCTCACTCTGAGTTCACAACAGGATCGATGTCCATCAATGATTAAACGTCGAAGAGAGAATCAAAAATGTGTTGGATTAAAATGAAACAAACGAAAGAATCCACAGACATACACAAAAGTCTGAAAAGAACTGTCCATCCGCTTGTGAGTCAGACAGACGACACACAAAACACCAAATAGCCGGTAATATGCAACCCAGTTAGCAATAACAACAACATTCAACAAACTGGTCATCAAAACCATGTAGGAAAAGAAGTTTATAAGCAGAAAGGCAGTAGTGGGAGATCAAAGAGACAGAGAAAGATGAAGATATAAGAGAGAATGAGAGAACGTGGAATAAGAGAATGGAAAGATGAGATAGGAAAAGGATTCACGTAGATTGAGGAAGAAGCTGAAAAAAAAGAGGAGGAAGAGCTTCCAACTAGTTACATTCAACTGTCATATAAACAACAAATTAAGCAACTTCTTCAAGTATGCAA